AGACAGAATGGGCCACATAAACCAGAGACTTCATCAGCCTGAGACCAGAAGAACTAGATGGTGCCCGGCTACCACCAATGAACGTCCTGACAGGGAACACAGCAGAGGGTCCCTGATGGAGCAGTAGAACGATGGGATGCAGAACTCATGTTCTAGTAAGAAGACCAGACTTAATGGTCTGACTGAGACTGGAGGTGCCCCGGAAGGCATGGCCCCAGGACTCTCTATCACCCCACAACTAAAACAATTTCTGAGGCCAACTCTTCAGACAGGGATTGGACTGGACTGTGGAACATAAAGTGATACTCGTGAAAAGTGTGCCTCTTAGTCAAGCAGTCACAAGAGACCAAACGGGCAGCTTCTGTCCAGAGGTGAGATGGGAAGGCAGAGAGAGTTAGGAGCTGGTTGAATGTTCTTGGGGAATCAGGGTCGGAGGGGAGGAGTGTGCTCATGCAGAATAGGGTGAGCGGTTGGGGTCTCATAACAACGTATGTAAAAAAAAAAAAATTTGTATGGGAGACTAACTTGAAATATAAACTTCATTTAATTACAACAATAATAAAAAAATAAAAACCACAGGAAAATCTTGCTCACACACGGCAGGACACATGTACAAAAATGGTCATGGCAGCACTGTCTGTAATTAGCAAAAAGCTGGAAAGGTAGAATAGATTAAAAGGTTTGATAGATTCATACAATGGAAAATATATAGTAATGAAAATGCTGCACAATATAAAAGCAAATCTTGGGAAAAATGTAGAATAGTTCTATGTACATAAAGCACAAAATATGCAAAACTGAACAATACATTGTTTGGGGATAAAAACATGTGGTCAGATTGTAAAGAAAGGTAACCAGTTGCCGTCCAGTTGAACTGTGCTCCATGGAGTTTCCAGTGGCTGATTTTTCAAAAGTAGATCACCAGGCCTTTCTTCTGAAGTGCCTCTGGGTGTACTTGAATCTCCAATCTTTTGGTTAGCAGCCAAGTACGTTAACCATCTGCACCCCCCGGGGACTCCTAAAGAAAGGTACCAGTTGCCACTGAGTTGATGTCGACTCATCAAAAATGGAAGAGTGACCCTATAGGACAGAGTAGAGCTGTCCCATCGGGTTTCCCAGGCTGTAATCTTTACAGAAGCAGACTGCCACATCTTTCTTCTGAAGAGCAGCTGGTAGGTTCAAACCGACGACCTTCCAGTTAGCAGCCGAACGCTTAACAGTGTTCCACCAGGAATCCTTAGAAAGAAAGGTAAGGGAATGGTTGGAAAAATGGCAAGGCGTCAGCATCAGACCTCCTTGTCTTCACAAGGGGGTAAGGGAATCGTCATCAGCATCATCCCAAGGCTGATTCCTATGAAGTGGAGGTCAGACACACTTCCTTTCTCCAATCTTTTTACCAATTCTGACCCCAGCCGTCTCTCCCACAGCACTCTCTACTTCTCTGCTGGGTTCGATAATTCGTTGCAATGGCCTCACAGAACTAACAAGACAATACAATTATGGGGTTTATTAGGGAAGTAACGAGTTATAATTCAGGGTCAGGGATGACTCAGGATATAGTTCTTTGATCAGAATAGCCCCCTTTCAGCCATGCCCACAGGCAGGCCTCTCTCTGGCCCTCAGCCCCCTCAGTCGGGCCTCTGCCCTGCTTAGGCAAGTGTTACAAAGCTCTTTCGCTCTGTCAATAAGTTCCTCAAGGGCGCCCCACTCTGCCAGCAATCCTTGGCCTGACGGCTCTCAGCTCTCTCACTCTGTGAGTTGTGAGTCGGCAAGCCTAGCTCCGTTGGCAAGTGCCCGTGGGCACCTCACTCCACTAGGAAGCCTCTTGCCGAAAGGTGCTCAGCTCTCTCCTTCCGGGGGGCAGCACATCCACTGTAACCACCTTACTCCATGGGCTGGGAAGCTCACTGCTCTGTCTGGCGCCAGTCTCCTTGTTCTGTTGCTGCTGCTTCTCTGCCACTGCTTTGTCTCTGGTGTTACAGCTCTCTGTCTATGTCTCCCGGGTCTAGGAGGTTCTCAGCACAGGGACTCTAGGTTTAAAGGATGTGTTTTGCTCCTTTCTCTTCTTTTTCTTCTTGATAGTGAAGTCCCCCATTTCCTCCTCCGGGGTAGTTCATTTTAAGCCTAGCAGGATTCAGAATCGGCTTGATGGCAATGGGTTTCGTTTTTTTTTCTAGGATGGCAAAACTGACCAATCCCCTAGTTAGGATTCTATATACCTTATTTGCATGGTCCCACCCCCACAAGGGTGCCATGCACCTTATTTACATTATTAGCAAGCTGTCCAATCCCCTTGGCTGGCCACAAGCACCTTATTTGCATATTCCCACTCAATCATTTGGTAGTAGTTACAAGACTATGGTGAGAAAGGCCATATAAAAGTGATCCATCACACCAAAATGATAAATATAATATTTAGGGTAACGTCTGCCTCTGAGAGAGGTAGGACATGAAGCAGTTCTTAAAAGGCAAAAGTAATTCTGGCACTAGGAGGTGGGTGCAGGGGGTTATTGTTGTACTGTTATTCTTCATACATGTATTGCAAAGATTCTTTTGTATTCAATAAAATTAAGAGCAACTTTTAAAAGTGTCAAGAACGTTGGGGGTGAGCTGCAGGGGTTAAGGCCACCTTCCCAAGGCATTTGACTATGTCACGTCCCTGAGAAGAGCCAGGTGCATGAGGGTCTCATGTTCTGGGCAGGGAGCAGGAACAGGACTTTGGGGTCTGCTCTGTTTGCCTCTTTCAGCCAGGGCTATGGAGGGGGTGGGAGGAGACAGGAGGCCAGTGTGTATCTGAGGCTGCCAAGAGCTTTATTGGATTTGCAAAGCTGGCTTGCAGATGCAGCGTAAGATAAAGAGCTCATCCAGAACAGCCCACCCCACTGCTGATTGCTCCTGAGGCCACATGCCCGCCAGATAACATCTTTAATATCTAGAGGGAAATGAATTCCCCTGCTTGGTCTGCGCATCTGGCCTCCCCTCCCACTGTAGACGATCAGTTTATCTGGCAGTGCTACTTCCCTATAAGGAGAGGAGCAATTGTCCCCCTGCAACTCAGCTTTTCATCAAGTCTGAGAAAGCGTCACTGAAGTGGCCGGGCCTGGATGGTGGCCATTCCTTCTTTTCTTCCCTCCTCCCTTTAGCTTTTCTGGATGGCTCTCTGCATTAGAGCTGTGCGAGGTAGAGGGGACATTGAGATGAATCAGGCCTGAATCTCGTCCTGGAAAAGGGAGTGGTCCAGCGGGGTAGACAGACTAGAAATTAACGAATCATAGATCCAAGTGTAATGGAAGTAAATAAGCCTTGGAACAAAGACAGATACAAAGAATAATTCCACCAAGGTCTGGGAAGGTTTCTCCGAGGAAGTGAGGTTTTATTCTCTCCAAAATCAAGTTAATATATTTTTTTCTTATTACAAAAGAAATACATACTTATTATTTTAAAAAATGAGAGAGAGAATAAAAAAACCCAAGTGTGTAAAAAGAATATGAAAACACTCTTTTCTCTTTATGAAGACAATCATAGTTAATACCTGTCATGGATTCAACTGTGTCCCCCAAAAACATCTGTCAACTTGGCTAGGTCATGATGCCCAGTATTGTATGATTGTCTACCATTTTATTATCTGATGTGATTTCCCTATGTGTTATAAATCCTATCACTATGGTGTAATGAGATGGATTAGTGGCAGTTACACTGATGAGATCTACAAGATTAGATAGTGTCTTAAGCCAATCTCTTTTGAGATATAAAACAGAGAATTGAGCAGAGAGGGGACCTCATACCACCAAGAAAGCAGTGCTGGGAGCAGAGCGTGTCCTTTGGACCTGAGGTTCCTGTGCTGAGATGCTCCCAGACCAAGGGAAGACTGGTGCATCACAAGGACCTTCCTCCAGAGCCGACAGAGAGAGAAGGCCTTCCCCTGGAGCCAGCGCCCTGAATTCAGACTTCTAGCCTACTGGACTGTGAGAGAATAAACTTCTCTCTGTTAAAGCCATCCACTTGTGGTATTTCTGTTAGAGCAGCACTGGATGCCTAAGACAATCCTTTAGTATATCTGCTATGGATTGAATTGTGTCCCCCCAAAATATCTGTCAACTTGGCTAGGTCATGATTCCCAGTATTGTATGATTGTCTACCATTTTATTATCTGATGTGATTTCCCTATGTGTTGTAAACTCTATCACTATGATATAATAAAATGGATTAGCCGCAGTTATGTTGATGAGGTCTACAAGATTAGCTAGTGTCTTAAGCCAATCTCTTTGGAGCTATAAAAGAGCAAATCGAGCAGAGAGACATAGGAACCTCACACCACCAAGAAGGCAGTGCTGGGAGCAGAGTGCTTCGTTTGGACCTGAGGTTCCTGTGCTGAGATGCTCCCAGACCAAGAGAAGACTGGTGCATCACAAGGACCTTCCTCCAGAGCCGACAGAGAAAGCGTTCCGCTGGAGCTGATGCTGTGCATTTGGACTTGTACCCTAGTGAACTGTGAGAGAATAAACTTCTCTTTGTTAAAGCCATCCATCTTTGGTATTTCTGTTAGAGCAGCACTAGATGACTAGGACAATATCTCAAGAGGTATTAATTGAAGTGGATCTTAAAAAATAAGTAGGCCTAGGCCAAAGATGAGAAGGTAAGGGGGGAAAAGGAAGCTAGATTAATGGAAACAGAACAACCAGAATGGAAATAATGAGAACGCTGATACGTTGTGCAAACTGTAACCAATGTCACTGAATAATATGTGTACCAAAAGCAAACCAAACTTATTGCCTTTGAGTTGATTCTGACTCATAGCGACCCTGTAGGACAGAGTAGAACTAACCCAAAGTGTTTCCAAGGAGCCCCTGCTGGATTTGAACTGCCGACCTTTTGGTTAGCAGCTGAGCTCTTAACCACTGTGCCACCAGGGCTCCAAATAAAATGTATAGAGACGGTTAAATGAGCACCTAATTTGCTATGTAAATTTTCTCCAAAAACTCAATAAAATTTTTTTTTCTCTTTTTTTTTGTTGTACTTTAGGGGAAGGTTTACAGA